GTTGTCGCAACTTGGTCTTGTTGTCAGGGCGACTTAGTAGAATGCACCTAGTCCGAAGTCGTCTGCCATAATAGTAGTCATGATTCCCAGCATCAGACAGTGGACTTGGTACATTCTCAAACGTTTTGCCGGCATCATCAGTAGGTTTTGCCATTCTCCGCACCAAGCAACAAACTCGTCAAAGGGACAAGTGTAACCGTTTTCAGCAGAACGTTTGTCGAAGGATTAGCTTCACTTGTCTCTTTGACGAGTTCGTAGCTTGGTGCGGCCAACGGCAAAACTCACTGATGATGCCGACTACGATGTCGGTTAAACGTTTGAGAATGTATCAAGTCAACTGTCAGATGCTGTGAATCATGACAACTACTATGGCAGACGACTTCGGACTAGGTGTGTTCTACATGGTCTCACTGAAAACAAGACCAAGTTGCGACAACGAGGTCAATCCACTTCTTGCGAATACGAGTTCAATCCAGTTCTACAAATTAATACAAATCAAATTAAAAACGTGGTGGATCCTATAAGCATCATCAAGTCTGGATGTTGCTATCCAGCTCAGTGTGTTTTGTCCCATGTAAATATGCTCCTTTAAGCGATGAACTTTGCATCACGGGCCAACCTGGGGATCAGAACATCTTCGAAACTGTACTTCGTAGCAAATTTGATGCAGCCCCATATACAGCTAGCTGGTCTTTATATGGAATACCACAGAAATACGCAATAACTTGCGCTCTAAGACGATACGTCTGGTAAACTGCCCTTCTTGCTCTGTTTGGTCACTTTGCGCCTCCGAGCCCTCAAACGCCTCCGCCCCGCTGTCCGCATGACTCGAACAGCGTCGACTCGAGGCAGTCGGGCCTCCGTGCTCTCTGCCCGGTCCGGTACAGTTTGGCCCATCCCCCATGGTTCCCAGCCCCAATCGTCCGGCTCATGTGTCGCTCGAATCCTCTTTGCACGTGGCCCCACAACTCCCTTCCGTCCTCCCCCGTCAAACTGCTCCCTGCCCACTTCATCATAGCACCTTGGCCCCGGCTCCAACTCCAACTCCAGCCTCGGCTTCACGACTTCCCAACTCACCTTCTCCAGGCCTTGTCACCTACCGATTGCTCCATCCCTAACCGGCCGGCCATTTGAGAGTCTCCGAATTTCGAGCCTGGGAGGTTCTAAACTTTTTTTACGAGCTCGCCGATTTCACCCCCCATCCCACACTTCTGTACCAAAGTGATGGGCAAAGTGATGCCAGCCGAGAAGGGGCATCGCGGGCCAGGGGAGGTGCAGGCGTGAAGACCGCTCGGTCGGAGAGACACACCGAGGGCACTATCATTGCTGACCCAAATCCACTTACTTTCCCACCCAGTGCCCGGGCCACCTATTTCTCCCATTCCCCTCACCTCTACCCCCTGGACTCGGCCGACTTTGGATTAGTTTATTTACCTCCTCAATTTAATGGGTGTCCCTTCTCTTCGCTGCCAAGTTGCGATCTGGACGCAGCCCTTCTGCATTTGCGCTTTCTTTGCCTCCTTTCTCGCCTGCTCTTCTTCTCGGCTGCCCGCCAAACTCTACTCCAGCCCTTCACCTTCTCCTCCCTGTAGCGACGTCAGGGAGGTCGGGACGATTTTAACAATCTGGTACCGAAATATAGTCATTCCTTTGCTTAGAGTTGCAGACAGGTGTAATTTCTGCAGCCTCTCTGATATTCTGGCTATTATGTGCCCTCTCCGTCGTCTGTAAATGTGCGATTCTGCCGGTTTATGTGTGTTTCCGCGACCAATCTACCGCGCCAGTGCACTTCGGTTTGCCCACGCATCGGGTGCTCTTGTGCGTCTGCAAATTGTGCTTGCCAAAGGGACATAAAACGCTGCATGT